TTGCAAAGGCATTTTCTCTGTCCCATTATGTTGCCTCTCGGCTGTTGTGGTGAGGCAGAATACAAATTTGCAAGGAGGAGGAAACATGGTGGTGGGCATCAGAGAGATTAGCTGTTGTTCAGAGGGAAGAAGAATTAGGCAGTTTTTTGGAGGACATCTCTGATCTTGCAGCTTGAGGAAACCCTCTCCAAAACTCCCCACACTCACTGCCCATGGCTACAGTCTGTGAACTCCAGTGTCAAATCTTCCTCTCTCGTGTCTTTTTTTATCTCCTTGGAAGAGAAAAAGCAATATAATATAACCTGAACTCTCAAACTCATGATTCTTAAAGAGAAACAAGGGGGAAGCGGGGAAACCCCAGAATGTCTTATTATGGTCTCCTTTTGTTTTCCCCTGGGAGTGTATAGGGTTTATTTATTTATCAGACAGGGGTTGTCTCTCTCTGCTCAGATGAGTGGAAAAGTAGGAACACAGACAGGTTTGCCTGCAAATGAAGGTGAGTAGTCTGTGTGTGCATGTGGAGGGGTGGAGGGGAGCTACCTGCTCCTTTGCTCCCACTTACAGAGGTCTCAGCTTCTCCCAGGGTTTTACCTGAATGTGAAATTCAGGGAAAGGAGATGGGATGGTGTTGCTCAGCACAAAGGGGGGCCCATGGTCAGATTCACCCCCTCTGCCAGACAAGAGCAAGGAGTTCAATGGCCCAGGGGAGCGACAAAGGATCGACAACAATAGATGTGCAAACAATGAGCAGGACCCAGAGACACAGTGATGCACAAAAGCAACCCCAGGGCTGGTTTTGGTTTATGTCAGCTGAGCCAAAGCCCACAGCCTCCAAACTTCAGGGACCACAGACAACAGAGTGGGTGGAAAAGAACACTGAGCAAAAAGCTTTTGCTGCCTGCTGAAGGGGAACTTCAATTTGTGTCCTTCCCAGAAAAGAGCATCGCAGGATCCTGTTCCAGGAATGTCCTGGCACTTCTTACCCTAGCTGCCTGTGATAGCTTGAACATCTCTCTGAGATGTCATTCAGAAAAAAATATAAAATAAAATAAAATAAAATAAAAATTTAAAAAAATCCAGAAGCAGTAGTCAGAAGTTTAGGTCCAGCAAGGACCAAGTTTTGGTGACTCTCAGCAGAAGAGAAGGCTCCTAACTAGGAAACAAACAACTGGACGACCAACCAAATGCAGGAGCTAAGCCAGGAAGGAAAAATGAAAGGAAAAATTATAAGTTCAGACTCTTAAACGCTGGGAAACATGTGTAAGTCAAACAAGAATTGAGAGAACTCTGTCAGTCCAGAGTGCTGCTCTCATGCAGCAGCCAGACGTCAAGCCCAGTCTCTGTCCTTGCAGCTTTGCACACTTCAGTGAACTACCAGGGAAACTGAGATGGTCCCAGAGAGGGAGCTTGGGTTTTTTCCCCTCACATCCTCACTCCTTCCAGCAACCCAGTCAGATACATAATTAAATAAATAAACCTAAAATCTCTTTTCTGTAGCCTAGGAGCAGAAGCAAACTTTAAGCAGGGGTATAAATAACGTGCCCAACCACAACGAAACTCAACGTGAAGTCTCTCAGCTCTCACCACCAACTTACGGCTCTGGTGGAACCAGAAAGCTCCCGATTAACTTTCCTCAAAGAATTTCTTTCGGAGCAATTAATAAGTGCTTTGCAGTTTGACTCGCGTTATTAATTGGATTGGGAAGGAGTTAAAAGCGCAAACGGTCTATATGATTTATTTTTTTTAGGGTCTGTAAGGGAAGCTAACAGATGGAACTGACCGGTAACGTGCATCTGGCAAGCTGGGTTTCTTGTAAACTTTCCTCCAAACAAAACCATGTAGGTGGCTTTGTTGTTGTTTGAAGAGAAGTTGGGCTCCGAGCTGGCTGGTGATGTGGCTGCGGGTTTGTCTGGGCTGCGTGTGAGTGGGAAGGGGGATGGAGGGGGAAGGGGTCGAACGGGGAGGACATCTCTAGCAGGACGCGTCTCTTGCTGCAGGGTTATCTCCTGGCAGCTCGGGGAAAGGAGCTGGGAAAGCATCAGCCCCTTGCACCGTGTGTGTCTCCCGCACTGACAGAGGCTGGGAAGCCCCATCCCTGGGGCAGCGCTGGGGTGAGGGATGGTGATAACCGGCCCACAGCACCTTTAGGGTTCAAAAGAAGGGAAATTGTGCCCAAATATTTTGTCCTCCTCTCCACACTCGCAGTTTTCTGGAAAAGAAACATGGTATAGATACATAGTGTCCTGTGGAGGTGCCTTTTGGGGAGCGCTGCCACGAATGAGGGCAGGGACCCCCGCCCGGGTCACTCCCGTCGTGTCATTTCGCAGTGGGTCCCCCAGGGGTCTGCCCTGGCCATGGAGAGGAAAATAATCCCCTGTCCACCCGCCTCCCCCCCCAAAAAAAAATAATAAATAAACAGAAAACCCCAACAAGATAACACAAACAAATAAAAGCAGGCGGAACTCAAGTAACACTGCGCGAATGAGCGGCTGGAGGATCCGCCGGGCTGGGGGGTGCGGTGACCTAGATGTGTGGGACGGGGTTTGCCTTCCTCCTCGAAGGGAAGGGACACTTCAGTTTCCGTCAGGAGGGTATGCCTAAGGTGTCTTAACTTTTTGTTTTGTTGATAGGTCTAAACTGTCCTCTTTAAAGCTGGTGTGGCTGCTCAGATTGCTCTCGCCAGGCTCCAAAGGGCGTTGGAAAGAGCAGAGTTTGCCCATGTCTGTGTATTCTTTTCTTCTCTCAGCTACGTACATCTTGAGGAGTTAAAAAAAAAATAAATGCTGAATTTGGAAGAGTAGCCAGGAATTTCTCAAATACATATAAGGGAAAAATACTTATATTTCATTGACATCCTTAGAACTGTAACAAATCCAAATGAAGAGAAAGATACCCTTCCTTCCTTCCTTCCTTCCTTCCTTCCTTCCTTCCTTCCTTCCTTCCTTCCTTCCTTCCTTCCTTCCTTCCTTCCTTCCTTCCTTCCTTCCTTCCTTCCTTCCTCCCTCCCTCCCTCCCTTCCTTCCTTCCTCCCCTTCCTCCCCCTCCTTCCTCCCCTGCTTCCTCTCCTTCTTCCCCTTCCTTCCTTCCTCCCTCCTTTACTTCTTCTTTCCCTCCCTTTCACCCTCCCTGCCTCCCTCCCTCCCTTCCCTTTTTCATCGCCTTCCTTTTCACCCCAGGAAAGGCTGACAGGGGGGCTGGGGGGTAGCCCAGCCCCACCACACTCCGCCGGTGGCGGGATTTGGGGCTGACCCCTCCGCACGCCGAGATCATCCTCACCCCTTCCCATCCCAGACAAGGCATTTCAATTCCACTCGTGTGCCTTTGTCCATTTGTAGAAAGACAAGAGGGCTGAGTGACAGCTCCTGTTAGCCTGCCTGAACAGATACCAATAAACCCTCCCAAAACCTGGACCCTAAAAAAAAAAGAAGGAGGAAAGAGGGAGAGGAAAGGAGCCACATGGCTGTTTGCCTGCGGCTTATTATTAAGACACCTTCGCAGCTTAAACGCTTAAAAAGCAACCCAAATTAAATGGCAATTAACAGCAAGTTACACCCTCTCCTGTCTCCAGGCTTATCATTTGTGGAAGCTGGCCATCAGCAGAGCCAGCCCGTCGGGAACTGCCATTTGGGCTGGCATCTTCTCGGAGGGTGGGTGGCTCTCCCCCCCATCCCCGGGCTCCCCCCGGACGCTCCCAGAGCCCAAAGCTCAGTCACTTCGGGGGGCTGGAGAGCCACTACCTGGGGGGAGAGAGACAGGGCAGGGAGGTGCGCAGGCAGAGAGGACTTATTCCCAGAGTGGTAAATCCTCTGACCGGTGTCATTAAGTAAATAAAGAACGTACCCCATCAGTTTTGCGACCCAGGGCTACGCAACCTCCCCGCGTTTCCAGCATTAAAAGATATCGGCACTTAGAAATGTCGAAGGCAAAAGGGTCACCAATGGTCTTGAGCTCATACGTACCCTTCCCTAGTTTTCTTTCTCTTATGTAGACGGATGTAAATCCGTAGATCTATATGTATTTTTATGTATAATTCCATATAATATGTCACTGCAGTGATACTTTGTGGTCTTACCCTAGTTTTATGTTTGAAAATCCTATTTAAAGAAGCCTGTAAGATAGCATATTAGGAATCTTTAAAGCAGGTTGGAGTGTGGGGTGGACTTAAATTCGATGTAAATGCAAGGGTAAAAAAAAAAAAAAAAAAAAAGGCAAACCCAAACCAAAAAAAACCCCAAAGCTTTCATTTAGGAAAAAAAAAAAAAAAAATACAGTTAAACAGACACACATACAAATGTGCAATCTTAGCTTGTGGTCAGTATTTAAAAGCAGTATAATCAACAGGAAGGAGCACTTACCTACCGAAAATGGTGGTTTAATAATATATATAAATATATATTAGCCTTATGTCTTCCCAGTAAAATGTACACAAAATAACCCCTTCGATCAGATTAGCTCCCATATTAGCCTGGGTAAGAAAAAGCATTCTAAAGAGTGGAGGAAAAAATGTATAAAAATGTTGAAAGAACCTACAGTTCCTTATTAGGCGAAGATACAATATTTATTCCTTGTCTCCTGGGATGAAGCTCCTCTATCTATTGTCCTCCCAGTTCTCAGTGCTGATGCTTAATTTTCAAAACTTCTATATTACCAAGGGACCTACGACATCAGCCAAAGAAATACCCAGCAAGTACAAAATCTGATCCAGGGAGCAGCTTTTGTGCAGAGGGAAAATTTTGTTCCTACAGGTTTTTAAGGAGGTGCATGGAAAAGCGAGAGATCTGATCTATGCAGATACATTGCAAATTCTCTCTGTCTGTAGAGATTTTTTCTAAAAAAAAAAAAAAATTGGGAAAATACACGAACTTTGGAATTATTTTTCCTTTTTTATTTTTTTTTTTTAAATTTGGAGAAGGGAATTTTATCCAGAGTTCTGCTTTTTTTATTATTATTTTCCTCTTTTTTTTTAATTTTTTTTTTTTCTTTTCCCGGAGAACCAAAAAATGTCAACTACCTTTCCAGGTCTCGTCCACGATGCAGAGGTATTTTGTGTGTGAGAGTGAGTGTGTGCCTGTGTGTGTGCGCGCGTGTGTGTGGATGTGTGTGCATGTGTGTGTGTGTGTGTGCATATGTGGATGTGCCTGTGCGGTTGTTTCCAGTTTGTGTTTTTTTTCTAAATCCATATTGGACCGTTACATTTAATTATAATCCGGCTTCAGAGATAAGTTAAAGAAGTATAGAGAGAAAATTCGTTATGACATCTGTCGCCAGAAAGGGCAACTCATTACCACGTTAAAACCGTTGCCAGAACGAAAATCAGAATAATACCCCTAATAATATAATGAAGTGGAGAGAAGTCACCACCAGCTCGCCAGGAATGGGGAGTTCTCACTAAAAAACAAGACTCCCCTTTTCTTTCGAAACGCAGGGAAAAGGGGGAGGGGGGGAATTTTGGATCTGATTCGTTATTTTAAAAAGAAAGAAAAATAGGGGTTCGAGGAAAAAAGGGGGAAGGAAGGAAGAATGGAAGGCGAGCAGGCGGCAAAGCTTTCTCAGTGTGTAACGCTGTAACATAGAGATGGGACTTGTGTGTATTCTCGGTAGTTTCCCGTGTTTGATGACTTTTGTGTGTGTCAGCCTCAGATATTACAGCTGTGATCAGGAGGTGGATGGATGGACGGACGGATAGAAAGACAGAGAGGTGTTTTTAGTTTGGTTTGGTTTTTTTTATTATTATTTCAATGCGTGTGTTCCTTTCGCTTGACGGTATTAAGGGCAGGCTGGGCTGTTTATGGGTTTTTTGAACAGACCTTTATGGCACCAGCCCAAGGTAGGAAAGGATCTTTTGTTGCTGGGGTTGCCGCTCGCAGGCTTAGGCGCTTCTGCGGGGGGAGAAGCTGTGCAGGACAGCGTGCTTGGGAGAGCCGCACCCGGGGTTTTCAATGACAAACCTCCAGTTTTGGGGTCTTCTTTTCACTTCTTCCTTGCAGATACGTCATGACGGATCAAACAGTTACCGTTTGATGCAGCTTGGATGCCTGGAATCTGTGGCCAACTCGACCGTCGCCTATTCCTCCTCATCTCCTCTCACTTACTCTACCACGGGCACCGAGTTCGCCTCCCCGTACTTCTCCACTAACCACCAGTACACCCCACTGCACCACCAGTCCTTCCACTACGAGTTCCAACACAGCCACCCGGCAGTCAACCCCGACGCTTACTCCTTGAACTCTCTCCATCACTCCCAGCAATATTACCAGCAGATTCACCATGGGGAACCCACTGATTTTATCAACCTGCACAATGCGCGGGCGCTTAAGTCCTCTTGCTTGGATGAGCAGAGGAGAGAGCTGGGGTGCTTAGATGCTTACCGCCGCCACGACCTGTCTCTTATGAGCCATGGATCCCAATATGGGATGCATCCAGATCAAAGACTCCTGCCAGGACCAAGCCTCGGGCTTGCAGCCTCGGGAGCAGACGATTTGCAGGTAAATAGCATGCGATCTCCTTTCGAGGCACCTTCTTCTTCCCTCCCCCTGCTCTGGTGTCCCCCCCCCATTTTCCACCCACCTCCCCCCAACCCCCACCCTCTCCATTTTCCTCTTCTCATACAAAGGAGGGAAGATTCATCCAAAATCCGATCCACAGTCCGTCTCCTCACAGAACAGTAGCAAGAAAAAAATGTGGGGAAAAAAAACCCCGAGTGACCTTGTTTTGGCTAAACAAACCAAAACAAATAACCCCCCAAAACCCCCCGTGGGTTCTGTCTCTGTGATGGCTGAGACCGTGGGGCTCACCCGGAGCTCGCGGGGTGCGTGTGTGTTTGTGCGGGTCCGTGGCTTGTGCGTGGACCAGCCCTTCCCGAAGTCACACAGAAACTGAAGCCAAACAACCCCAAAGCCACCTCAACTTTTCCTTTCTGTCGCCTCACGGACCCGTTTAAACAATTTGCAGGGGCAGAACAAGGAAATGTCTTAGGGAAGGGATGGAGTAAGAAAGGAGAAAAAAGGCAGGGCAGGAAATAAATTTGCTTTCCGACACAGGTACAAAGGCAAACATCCCTTCCAACTCCAAGGCGTGAGGCAGGGAAGAAATAGACGGGAGATAATGCTCGTCAGAAATGCTAAAATTTATCACAATATCCGGTTAAGATTATAATAAGGAGAGACATACCAGCAGATAAAGCTGAATGAATTTATCATCCATTTGTTTCCCCCTAACTCGCATCTGGACCCATAAAAAAAATTTCTATGTCTTTGTATCAAAACCTCGGCTTTATCCGCTCAGAAATTCTTTCCCTCGCACTAAAAAATCAACTCCGATAAACTGAGCTGGTGACCTAAATGAAATTTGTTTCCAAAATTACAAATAACGCCCTCCTGTCTCTATCAGCCCTTTCGCGAAGTCCCCCAAACCAAAAGCAAACCTTCCTTCTCCCGATGAGCTGAGGAACTAAAGGTTTCCCGAGCAGCGGGGAAAGACAAACGGGACCGTATTTACTGTACTTACTTTTCCCCCAAATCTCGCTCCCAATCGTACAAAGCTGGCTGGGGTGGTCTTTCCAAAAAGACGTAACGGTCAAAGGTTCAGAACAACAACAACAAAAAATCATAACCCGAAGTTTGTAAAGCTGAGAAGGTTTATTTTCTTCTCTTAAAAACAAAAACACACACAAAAAAAAAACCCAAACAACCTAAACCTCTACTTATATCGGAGAAAACAAATGTTTCTCTTTTTTTTCCCCATTTTTTTTTTCTTTTTTTTAAGGAAGAAAATAATAATTTAAAAAGCCCCAACAACAAATAACGTTAGTTTTTATACCACTGTGGAAGAAACCCTAACTATTTAAACATACTTTTCTCCATTAAAATCCACGATATAATTTTATCCTCTACGGCCATTTTTTGTTTACATTTTTCACAAGGATCTCTTTATGTTTCCCTCCTCAAAAATAAATAAATAAAGTCAGAATTTAAAAAAAAAAAAAAATCTGCCATTCACTCAACTAAAACCTATTTACTCCTTTTTATAACCACGTCTGCTGCTGATTTTTTTGTATCTGTACAAATTTTTTTTCTTTGGCAGGCACAAAGCCTTGTATTTTTCAAAAGAGGGGATTAGGAACGTTTGCAAGACAGCAGACAATGCCTAAATCCCGGGCAAAAAAAAGCACCATAGTTTATCCAATTTTCGACTTAGTGCCATTCAACTGGTCATTTATGCAATGTCATCCGACCAAACAACATGTTTCCCTTTAAAAAAAAAAAAAAAAAGAAAAAGAAAAAGAAAAAAAAAAAAGAGGTTGGTTAAGCTGCTAGAGGCACATTCTTTTTGTTATTTATTTAAAGAAGAAAAAAATATCGACAGCCTTTCTTTGAAAAATATGATTTGTTCGATCTCACTTTATTCGGAAGTAGAAGACTCAGGTCTTTGTACCTAATCTTTTCTTCATTTTTCCTCCTCCCTCTTTTCCTGAAGAGAAGAAAGAGTGTACTGAGGTATCGAGAAGACTTAGTGGGGAGAAGTTGAAAATATACCTATTTCTCGTTATGCTTTAGGTGATTCCTAACAAACTTGGACTCTTGCGAATATCACTTTGGGCTTAGAGGGAAGCGTTTTGATGGTGAACAGAAACCGGACTGTACACAAGTATTTTTTACCCCAAATTGTGGTCTAACCAGTCTTCCCCTTTCTCCTTAGCCTTTCTTTTTGAAACGTTCATCAGCATATGCCTCATTTCAAATGCAACAAATGTAAATATACTTTTCCCTGCACAGAATTTTAAGTGCATGTCCAATAGTTTCGAGGGCGGTTTAAGTCAGCCTAACAGATGCAAACAGTCTTGGAGCTGGAGTTGCATCTTTCAGAGCCCTAAAAAGATTTTCCATGGGCAACAAAGAAAACTGTCACACCTTTTCCCATCACCGCTTTAATTTATGCTCAGTCGCCAAGTTTTTTTCATATCGATTTCATAATCACTTTAAGGCAGAACACTTAAAATAAAAAAGGGCCTTGAAAAGGAAGGTCTTACAGGGCCAGAGCCAATATGGTGAAAATGGGGGAGAGAGCCAGGACTGTAAAGGTTGTTTTGTAAAGTGGGGTTTTTATTATGCACCGACTCTCTCCGCATTTACTTAACTCTTCACGGGCTGTTGAGTAGGTTAACACCCTTAAAGGCCTCTTTCATGTCCAATACCTCGTTTGTTTGTAGAGGAAAATGCGTCTTTAACACATTTCCACTGGGCATAGATTTAGGTTTGGTTTGTTGTGTTGTTTTTTTTAACCCCAACATAAGGAAAAACCCAAAGAAAACCCAACCCTTTCAAGCCTTTTATCATCCCAATAAAAATATTTATTAAGAAGGGCGAAGATCCCCAAATAATCAGCCTCCTAACAGGAGAATAAAGAAGTGAGATCTCTTCGAACGGGCGCCAGAAGCCCTGGGCAGGTTTTTGGATGGCTCTTCAACCTCACACTCCCACAAGGGTGCCAGTGTGTGTGCACACAGATGCATATTCACACCCACCTATGCGCGGACACACACGCATTGTCACAATGCCCTTACGACTCTGTGCAGCCGGCAAAGCCCAATAGGTTGTCTGTTGTCTGTGCTCTTTGTCTCCTTCTGTGCCTAAGTCGGTGTACATGTGTCACGAAACCTAGATATTAATTTAGCTGTGTGCATAGATATAAATATACAGCTAAACATACAAAAATGCTACATAACCTGTATTTTTACCTTTGTGCGTGCAACTGGAAAGTGGGAACACACTTGTCTCAAGGCTAACTTGTTTGTCTCTATCCTGCCGAGTAACTGCAGAGCTAACACACCCATTCAGGAGAAAGTCGTCTTTAGATAGTAGTTAAAGTGCTAATTATTCTGCATTTCGTGGGGTAAGGGCTGGAGTAAGACTACAGGGTGGCCGTGGGATTTCACCAGAGCACTCGAGTTCGATGAGATGAACTGTTTTCCTAGTTCGCCTTAACTGTTGTTCCTGTGCACGTCGTGTAACAAAGCAAAAGCTATGCGGGTTTCTGGATCTGATTTCTTTCTTTCCTTTCTTTCTTTCTTTCCCCCCTCCCCCTTCTCCCCCCCCAATTACTTAAGAGCTCAGTGGAGGCCCAGTGTGGACTGGTACTGAACGGGCAAGGAGGTGTGATAAGAAGAGGTAAGAGGTTACAAATACTTGTATCTATCCATTTTTG